CCAGGCGAGGAAAGAATTACAGCGGAGCTACTGAAAGCGGGTAGAACACAGGTACTTGAAGTCCTTCAGAAGCTCTTCAATTCCGTCCTCCAAGGTGGCACTACTCCAGAGGCGTGGAGCAGAAGTGCGGTGGTCTTGTTCTTTAAGAAAGGCGAAAATGCTATCTTGAAGAACTACAGACCGATTTCCCTTCTGAGCTGCGTCTACGTGCTGTTTTCGAGAGTCATTATGAATCGTCTCGCACGCAGACTCGACGACTTCCAGCCTCCCGAACAAGCCGGCTTCCGAAAAGGCTTCAGTACCATAGACCATATACATACCCTGCGGCAGATTATACAGAAGACTGAAGAGTACAATCTGCCACATTGCCTGGCGTATATGGACTATGAGAAAGTCTTTGATTCCGTCGAAATTTAAGCGGTGCCACAGTCCCCTCAGCGGTGCCAAGTTGACTGTCGGTATATCGAAGTGCTGAATTGTTTGTACAGTAAGGCTACGATGGCTATCCGAGTACAGAACCAGAGCTCGAAACCTATTCAACTGCAGAGAGGTGTAAGACAGGGTGACGTTATATCCCCGAAACTCTTCACCGCTGCATTGGAAGACGTTTTCAAGCTACTGGACTGGAAATGATACGGTATTAACATCAATGGCGAGTACATCGTTCATTCATCGTTCATCAGGCATTCGGCGTGATGGCCGTTAAAATCGCCAAGGATCACGATCTCTGCGGATGGGATCTGCTGTAACAAGGAATCTGCAGCCATTTGGACGGGGTCGAAGAGTCGGTCTGTTTCGGCATTACCTATGGGACCTATAATCTTGAAAGCTCTGTGCCGTATCGGAAAATCTAAACAAAAAATTATTTAACGTAAAAAGGTCACTTTATTGAAGTCACTTTATCATCTTACAATTATAGTTTAGTTATTTTTAAAGTAAAGAAAAAAATGATTTAGAGCTTTAGAGTAAATAATGTACAAACAACCTGAAATTGCAACCCAAAATGTTTTCTTCAAAACTTTTTTATATTTCATAAAGAGATTATAAGATAGTCACCAAAACTTTAATTTAATCTGTTTTACAATTTTACGAAAAATACTCTACGTTTTTTTCAGGACTACTAAAACTAAACGAAAAACTAAAAGATTTACATAACATTTTAAATAAAACATTTTCAAATGAAACTTATATTACTTTTAATAGTATATTGGGCGTTTGAGTGGCCATTATTTATTTGACCATCCCACCCCACCACTATTCCGCTATTTCTTTTTGGAGACCCAACAAGATTTTACATTTGACTTATACTTATATCTATGACATATAATGTAAAAAACAAAGCTTACATAATAATTAACTCTCTGATCAATTAGCGATAAAAACATTTTATTACAAATTGATCAAACGTAATTTTATTTGAGTACCTACTTAACTGCGAGTTCATCCCTGGGTTTTTTCTCGATTCATTCGCAGCCTTTCACCCCTCCATTACAAAGTTCTCAGCTTCATTAGAGGATTTAAAACGCAAATTTCCTTTTCGATTGTAACTTTTTTCCACTCCTGGAAAGGAAGCGTCTTTTTAAACTCGAGAGGAAATCAGTGTCGTTTCTTTGAGAACGGGGAACGTTTTTAAAAGAAATTCATTTGAATTCGAGATTCAATCTGGTTGAATAATTATATTTCCGTCTGCAAGGTACAGTAATATTACAATACAGTTATGTCATTTATTTATTCAATACAGAATATTAAAAGCTGAACATAGGGGGAAGCCCTAGGATATTGGCCATAGTTACACCTGGTAGGTGGGTTGGAATGGAAAAACTGCGGTTGCCAAGTGAGCAATTGCAGTTTTTTTATTATTTTGATTTGTGTTTGTTTGTGTTTGATTGTAAGATGCAACATTAACGGGATGATGTTATATTTGGATGGGGTAGTGGATTTTCTTTTGTCGCCACAACCCAATTGACCTCATTACATTGATGGTACATTATGTAACTGGGAGGGCATTATGCACCTTGATTGATTTTCCGATTCGTGACGTAAAATGTTATATCAAAAATAACATGAATGTGCAATTTACTTGTACAATAGAATTGTTTTCATTTATTTATAATCTAGGTATATCCTTGGATTCCCTAAGATTTTATCCATCTTGAAAACTATTTTAGCATCATCATACTAAAGAAATTATGTGACAGTGTCCACGTAATAATATAATAATAACAAATCAGTATACTATCAATATAATCGTATTCTATACAGTTTTCTGAAAATTGACATATTATGAATAAGTACCTGGATGACCGAGATTTGCTTGGTTTTAATTAAAAAAAATTATGCAATTAGTTACAGTTAAATACTCGAAATAATAGATTTTCTCACAAAAGAAGGGAACTTGAAAAAAAAGGAAAAAAGTCGGACCTAGGACAGGACGCGAACCAAGGAATTCCACACCACACCGATCGATATCCACCTGAGCTATTACGATCATTAACATAATATTAAAATTTACCTTCTTATATTGTAGCAGTTTTTCATTGCCTGAAAATACGGAGAAAAAGACATTTTCTAAAAATAAATCCTAGCTAGATCGATTGACTGCCCGCGAAACTCCCTGGACACAAAATTTTATGAAAATCGTTGAAGCCGTTTTCGTTATAGGATAGCTACTGTTTTATCAAGGAATCAGAATTCGTCAACAATCATTGGGGCAGCGCAGTCGACACTTCCTTGCTATAAAACCTTTTCAGAAGCGTGAGGAGGCCTAGCAGTGGGCCATCAGACATCTACACCCTGTAACATTGCTTTACTTAATGAAGATTTCTTCATTAATTTAAAGAAAGGCCGGACTAAAATCTATACTTAGAAAATCATAACCTTTTTCGTGTTTCGTTATAGAATTTTTGGAAAGAATAATTGATGAATTATTTAAAAACGTTTTGCACTGGCTTAAAAAGGAAGTCGAACTGAAAAACTTGTAGGTGCGGCGTGAGTTTCCATTTCAGTTCCAACTGCTTTAAACTATTCGTAATTATTTTATGCACCCATTATAATAGTTAGTATACAACAACATATATAGCAACTCAAAAAACATTTGACTGTTTTTTAAGTTGCAAACTTAAAAAACAAAAAATCATAAAAAATAGCAAACAAGCTTTGACAATAATTAGGAACGCTTTGAAAATTCAACCTAAATAAAACTAACTGCACTATACACTACCAAAATCGACTAAAATATTTACTATAAGGTCAACTGTCAAAATGGCGTAGATGAAGCAGCGCCCTTTTGACCATTTAATTTTTGATTGACCGATGAAGAGCTATCGTATCACAGAACCATCTATGCAAACAAGGCTGTAGTTTTTGAGTTATAAGAAAGTGATCATATTGACCCGATGACCATATTACCCTCACGTACTATAATACTTGATTAATATTCGCAACAGATTTATGTAAACATCACATAATTCACACTATGACAAATTATTCTCTAACAAGCCAACAATAAGAGGTTCTCCAATCACACTGAGACTGTTTCTACGAAAAGCATCCCTGCCCCTAACTTTGTTTTCAAACCTTAATACTTTGTCAAATTCAGTAATCGTGCGAATGTGTTTGCGTTTCAACTAAAACCCTTATTGCGACAAGGTTGCAACATTCTATTAGTATCTATAATTTCTCGTAATATACACAATGGAAGCGATTATACTCTCCCTTGCGACATGATTTTATTTGTGCAGTTATTACGTCGTCGAAGAGATATTTAAATTTCATTAGGTTTGTTTTACACTTAATTTGTGAGGGGAGTGTTGCGTAGTATCGTTAGGGTGGGGCCCCGTTATTGCTTTGAGCTTTCCAACTTGTTTCGTATTACCCCCGCGTATTGTAATGCTGATTTAAATTTTGGTCGATATGCATCAGGATACACTTGGAGAGTCAGATAAAGTTATGTCACATTTGACATTGCTCTTGTGACTCTAATTTAAAAAAAAAAAACTAAAACTAAGAAGAAAAAGTGATTTTAAAATGTTTTTGTTCCATAATATAATGATGTGATAGTATTTTTATAGTAGGGTTACAGAGTTGCATAGTAGTAATGCAGTTGTATGTTAAATTTTCCTTCTATAATTTAGCAGCCTGAAACGACGTATAAATTTTAGTATTTCTTGTAGTCTTATACTATAATAAGTTATTCAGCACAGAATTATAATGTGAAACCTAATACATTAGATACGTATTATAGTAAACATTTCAAATTTATTAAATGTTACAGTTAAGAACGAATTAACATTACGGTAAATAAGTCATATTTAAAAAAGTAATACATAATCCGTTATTAGGAAAACTTAATAAATGTACGTGGAAGAGCCATGCTGCAGCTATATTACGCATGCAGCACGAATGGATCGGCTCGACTGGGGAATCACCACGCACGCACAGAATATCAGTGCAAAATAGCAGCTTAACGCTTAATATGTGTTTCCTAAGGCAAGTGTAAAGAGATCTTGAGAACTAACAACGTCGATATATCCTAAATGTTTATTAGGTACTGCGCGTCTAAACTTGACGCTAAAATAAAAGCTGACATCAATTAGCACACGCGTGCTCTCCAGCGAGACTATTTCTATTCTTTAATTGAACTGTGTTTCCCTACACTACTCACGTTATGACAACTCTTTTACTGATAAGGGTAGGTGTTATTTTAATTCTTGATCCAGGATTTACGTATATGTGCCATAGCATCCACTTACAATTAGATAACCTGTGTGTAGTTTTTATTTAAAATAATTCTCTTATGCTTTGAAAAAAAAATAACATTGGAGAGCAACGCTGCAGGCACATATATGTACTCGTTACAAAACGAATGTATCGGCTTGACTGGGAAAGGAATGGTACTGCTAAAATTTATACTCAATAAAGTATGCAGTTTAATTATAAAATAAAAATTACTTTTTTATTAACAGTCGGTTTTGTCAATTTAAATTACTTTTTAAAAGTAGTTATACGGAATCGAATAAGGCGTATTCACATTGCAGCTTTTCTGTAAATGGTAACATTTCGCAGACGCAGACTCCATTAGCGGTGTTCGCCGGACTGTCACAATCATTTTTCTTTCCCGCCGCCGCTAATTCCCGGTCGCGCTTCGCTGGGCATACACATCAATTAATTTGTCTTGATACTTTGTGCGATATATCATTTGATGACAATATCGTTATTTTTATTATTGTTTGTGCTGATTTTCATAATTAGCCTTTATAGAATCTGGTTTATAATATCCGTAGAATGAATGAGGAAAAAGTGACAAAGTTTATTGATGCCGTAGAATTGAGTGGCAGAGTGAAGAAAGGACGCCCCATACGGACATTTTTCGACCAAATTACTGCAGATGGCAATAAACTCCAAATTATGAGTACCTTTAACAGATGATAATGTTTGCGCATATATATATGGATGTGAAAGAAGCGAGAGAGGTGTGGATCGTGCTCAATGGACGTCCGTTGTCTCTATCTACCGCTCTGGGTAACAGACGTGAAAGTTCATATTATGCTAGGTTAATCTACTGAACATTAGGCCCTTCGAAGAATGCTCCAAACGCGAATTTCCACAAAAATTTGATTATACCTGCAAGCATATTCTGCTAGGATATGCTTGCAGATAGGGCAGTTGCACGAAGTGGGTTGGTTAACGGTATATTATAAATGTTTTCCTTCATCGCCAAGTACGTGATAAATTAGTATCTAAAATTGCTATTGAGAATTTCAATGAAACAAGCGGGGAAGGAACTCGGATTGCTCATGTGCTATGAAATGTATTGGGAGTGCTTAGCCAATGAGCTTCGCCAAGATGTATAAATAAGCACAAAAGATAGAGAAGATAAAGAGAGACAGGAACACAGGTGACGCTGTAATCTTGTTACATTCTCCATGTCTCTGAACCTGCATTCTTGCGTCCATTTAATTTCATTATATAAGTAATAAACTTTACATAAGCCAGGACGGAGAACATGATCTTCGTTATTAAGATGTTTATTGATTTTAGATTAATATCAAATATAGCCCAATAAAAACATTTTTATAATGTAAATAATAAATAAAATAAATTATCAAGTATCAAATATGTTCAATCGCCGCCCAAAGTTCGGCGGTTGATATCGACTTTTATTACTCTGGAGGGGTTGGTCATTAGCGAGATAAAGCGGCTGCCACCTGATAAAGTGCGTTTTGTTGCTCACTTACTTATTCCTTTATACTTTGCAACCCTATATTATGTAATTCCATCCGGAATTCGGTTTTTCATTGTGTTAACTATAATTACTTACTTGCTTATTTCTGCCGTGTAGTGGTGGCGTAAAATAATTTATTACACCATTTCTTCCCTTGGATGTCGTAAGAGGCAACTATGGGAAATACCAAACAGCTCTTATGGCTTCTGAAAGATGGTGGTATACCTAACAATCTCGTTTACGCCAAGTATAAAGTACCCAGACCGGTCATGGTGAGCAACATCAAAAGTGTGAGACGTCTGGTACTACAATCGTTAATCCGCCTACCAATCTTGACGATCAAGTCAAATTCTCTGAGAGATGTCCAACAGTGAGCACAAGTAAACTTAATTTAAAAACAAACATTTTATGTTTTTAACAATATTTCCGAGTGACTGACATAGTCCAACGGATTAGTAAGCTAAAGTGGCAATGGGCCGGCCATATAGCCCAAAAAACCGATGGGGAAATAGGTTCTCGAGTGTCAGCCTCGTACCGGTAGGCAAAGTGTAGGGCGACCCCCTACTAGATGGAGTGACGACCTGGTAAGACATGCAGGAAGTCGATGGATGCAGGTGGCTCAGGACCGTGCTTTGTGCCATTCCTTGAGGGAGGCCTATGTTCAGCAGTGGACTTGTGAAGGGCTGTAATGATGATGATGATGAATAATATTTAAAACAGATCGAGCAAAATCCATTAATAATAAACTGACTGAAGAATACCATCGACAACTACTAGAACACTGCTATGAAAGTTCGATCGACGAACACTGACTGTTCACTGTAACTTGAATTTGATTGGCCATAGCCTCCGAAGGGAGATTGATCATATAGATAGATATTTCCTTTTGGGCATTGCAATGCATCGTGCATTCTCTTACGCCGTCGACACACGGCATTACAAAATACAAAGTTATAATCATTTATGTGGGTTATAACCTTAAAACTTAATAATATCTGACATCAAAACGAGTATATTATATTCTTATATTTTCAAAGAGTGTCTTGATATAAACCATCCATCACCGACTTAGAGTAAAAACGGATTGCTAAGGAAATTTTGTCGAAGTTTCATCAGGAGATCGCGGAATCACCTTCGAAAAACCACGAAGCACGGTCCTGAACCACCTGCATCCATCAACTTCCTGCATATCTTACCAGGTCGTCACTCCATTTAGTGGGGGGCGTCCCGACACTTCGCCTACCGGTACGAGGCTGCCACTTGGGAACCTTTTTGCCCCATCAGTTGTCCCTTCGTCGAGCTATATGACGCCCCATTGCCACTTCAGCTTACTAATCGGTACTCGAATTGGTACTCAAAGGTTCAAACGAACGACAAGATCTATCTTTTTGACATTGTCAAATACCTTACTACATCCAGAAAAAAAAATTAAGCCACTGCAACAAATTTTAGGCGAATCCTAAGTCCAGTTTGGGCTAACACAGGTAACGACATGTTAAAGATGATAATATTTAGAAGGTCAGACAAAGCTTAGAGAGTATTTTGCTATTTTGGACATTTAAAGAATATTTTAATCTGAATAATATACTATACTTTTGATTTTTGTTTTACTTCTACCATTGTTTTTATATTTTTTTCCTAATACATTTTTGCAAGAAGGCTTCATCGGACTGAGGGTGACACGTACATTGTGGGTTGTTTACTTAGCAAAATTAGTTTAATTAATATATTTCATCCTGTACTATTTTCTTATTTATTGATCAATATTAGTGATGCAACGAATACTACTTTTACGAATACGAATACGAATATCAAATCTAATATTCGGCGAATACGAATACGAATACGAATATCTCGCCATGGTAATGAACAACTAATTTATTTGATGATTTTATATTGTTCTAATTATTAAAATTTACAACAGGCAAATTATTATTTATTAAACCTATAATTAGTAGATTTTCTGGTTTTAGGCGATTTCTTTTTTCAGTCTGGATGTTCCCAGCCGTTGAAAAAAGCCTTACCGATGCGACTGTACATGGTTTCAGTGAAAAATATTTTTGGGCGAGTTTTTTCAGCTTTGGAAAATGGACATCTTTTCGTCATATATAAGGCCAATGAATCAGAGGCAAGATTTAGGACTTCGTATTATTGGAATTGCTTAAGATAATGTCGTTGATTCTTTGCTTAGCTCTTTAGTAGCTTCTTTAAAATTGGCCAGAACATCAATAATTTTGCTCATAAGAGCCCATTGCCTTGCTGTGATTTGATGACGACAATTTGGTAGAGATGGTAAAACATCTTGAGTCCCTATGCGTTGTTCATGTAATCTCTTCAACATCTGATATGTTGATTCCCATCTAGTGTCAACATCTTGAAACAAAACATATTTCGGTATACTGTTAGCTTGTTGAAAATCTTTCAGTTAATGTAGTGTTAAAAATGTGTAATAACTCCCCAGCCCTTGTCTACCTGTCGTTGTGGCTTAGGGCAGTAATTAGAGTTACGTACAAAAATATTAGTTTTTAAATATTCGTGATTAGTAGTCGATGAATACGAATATTCGGTAAATATCTATTTCTCGACGAATACGAATATTCGTATTCGTATTTGTTGCATCACTAATCAATATTAAGACGAGCTTGTCACAGTCGAATGAAATATTCCAAAGATGTCATTTACGGGGGCATTGGAGCTTACAACTTATAACTGTACTATACTCGTATATAACGAGTATTATATTTGGTAGAGCTTTGCTAGTGTCGCAACTTCGAGACATGAACTGCGCTCTAAATAATAAACAATAGTGTCGACGATTATTAACACTTACATAGAGCCCCCGGCGCGGCGCTCGTAGATGATTGATGAGATTATCCCGCTCGGCGATGACTAATAGAGTGCCACAAACATATGATATTTGTTACGACAAACTGTTTCGAAATCTACACCGCCGCGCGTTAAGTTTTAGTGCTATATAAAAATACTGCTCTGGAGCGTTATGGTCACTATATTTTTGGAAATTCTAATTCTACGTACACACTATGGTAAATAAATCGTAATGTGGGTAAATGCACCTTTCTTGTTAAAAATAATGTTAATTTTCGTGTTAATATATATGAAAAATAAATATTGGTTACCTGCGTAACTGCCATTTTTAGCACTGTCTAGTTTGAACTTTATTAAAGATTTATATCTCAAAAATGAGCTACGCAGACCTTGATTATATAGACAGTTATATAAACAAAAGACGCGGACAGCTAGAAACTCAATTCGACAGTGACAAAATGGTGACCAATTTCGTTTAAGTAAGTCATATAATCTATGATGACAAATTATTGGCTATCCCAGTTGTATTAACAGTGGATATATCTTAAATCGTGGCAAAATTAGGCTCCTTCTTCTATATTACTATAGATACTAGAAGAAATATAAATAAAAAAGACATCAAACTCGTATAGAACCCTGTCTGAAATTTTTGAATCGGCGCGCAAATGGAGGTTTCTGAATCGGATGAAAACGTTACGTTTGTTGCAATAGACTTGGGTAAGCAGAAAAACATATCTCAGATGTTTCTGCTTCTTATTCTATATTAGATCGTAACAGTCAACTGGTGAACATAGGATAGGCATTTCTAATGAGAGAGACATATTCTAACTATAGCTAAAAAAACTTTGTGTAACTGTATAGTTAATCTGTGCCTCATATGTAAAACGAGATGGTAATATTTTTGTGCTTTGACCTAATAATTACTGATGTAGTATCAAACATTACAAACGAAAAATTTAAATGAAAAAGAAATCAACTCCGATGGAACCATAGAATACTATAATACACAATAGAATGGCTGTCAACCTTATTTCGTACGAAGATAGGCGTCGCCGTGCGCACACATACAAGAAATTACGTCGTATTATCACTACCATAAACCCGATTCGCTGTGTTGACAGATTTTAATACATATTTATGTGTAAAAAGCGGGCAATTTGGCATTTTCTAAATAATTTGCATGCGAAATATGGAAACGACTGTAACGTCAAAACACATCTCGTGTTGACATTTATACGCGTGAATTGACGTGTTAGTGACATTTTAGTGGCTACTAAGGTAATTATTATATATATATATATATATATATATATATATATATATATATATATTTTTAGTATAATAAATATTAATATTATAGTGTTCTATGAATGGAACGATGAAAAATTACTTTAAGGTCGGGTTAGAATCTATTTGAAGAATTTCAATAGTCACCAATATTTAAGTTTTGTGACTAAGCTCTCATTTTAACCACACTATGTGGAAGGTTTATGGTTCCATTTTACGGGAGTTTTCGAATCTCACACAAATTCATTTTGGAATCTGCTGCCGTATGTATTTTCAAGTAAAGGTTTTTATTTCCTCGTAAACACACTTGCGATTCCTTCGGTATTGTCAATGTTCATGGGTGACGATTAAAGTAGTGCATCATCGTCATCATTATAATGTTCCAAAGCATGGTCCAGAGCGAACAGTATCTATTATATATTAATTTTCGGAACAAAAATTAATATAATATTTATATATATATATATATATATATATATATATATATATATATATATTTTTTTAATATATATATATATATAATTTATTATATTAATTTTTGTTCCGATATATGCAGTAGTAATATAGTAAGCAGTAGTATAATAATTTAATCTATGGTAACCGCGGTTAACTATGACATCTAGACGTTGAACATCTCAGTCTCCCCCGTGACCATGGATGCTGTAAAGTGCTCGAAACGTCGGGTATTTAAAAAGTTAAATATACGCGATAAAATCCGTAAAAACTAGTATTATTTAAATGTGTTGTGTTCGCGTAAATACAAGAAATCATTACGTAAATAATAGCATATGATTTAATATTTTTGTAATATATAGGTTTAAAAATTATTCTAAAAAATGGCAATTCACTTTTTCGCCGTGACGTTTCATTGTCTACAGACTCTATGTAAAGCGTCGCCGTTACATACTTTTTAACTGTTTAACTTATGTTCGCAAGATGCTTAGTGTGTTAAATTAGTATAAAGTTTTGGTTTTCATAACATTATCCGTTTTATGCTAAAATGAGCAAAAACGGAAGATTTAAACTTTAATCACTTGGTTTCATCATACAACATCTGCTGCAGAATATTATTTGAAACTAATAATCTGAAATTAAGTATAGAGATATAGTGAGATGGTACAGTTATAAATTTAAACTATACCAAGTTAATTTTAATTCTGGACATTAATTTTAAACAGTAAATTGCTGTGTCAGCCCAGCATCAGGAAAAAGTGCCAAAGGATAATACTGGCGAATCCGTTTGTCAAATGTGACGATTAAGGCAAATCCCCTCTACTCTCTCAATGGGAGCAGACATCAAGTCGATTCTGGAATAGATGAAGGCAATAAGTTCGACCACGGAAAGCTATTGGGGCCAATGGGACAGCTTGCAGCTTCAGGATGGAGTTCAGTGCCGTAAATGGGAAAATGATCGGGGAGACAGCTGTCATTTGCAAATGGTTGTCCCTAAAGCTAAAGTACTGGATGTTCTACAGCTGTACTCGTACCACAATGGTTGTTCAGGAGGCCATCTGGGAGTTAAACAAACTCTGCTGAAGAACCGAGAACGGATTTACTGGGGCCACTGTCGTGACGATGGCGAAGACTGGTGTTGCAATGTACAAGTTGTGCGGCTTTAAAGGGAGCTCAGACTCGTAGTAGTGGAGCGTGAAAGTGGTAACAAGTATTTCATGGTTGTGATGGATTACTTCACTAAGTGGCCAGAAGTCTTCCCCATTTCAAATCAAGAAGCTTCAACAGTTGCAGATAAACTAGTTCACAGCGATCAAGGAAGGAGTTTTGAGTCTCAAATATTCCAGGAAACTTGCCGAGTTATGGGTACTC